TTTTTGTTTTGGGTCTGATGTAAAATCTTTGTCCTGAAGCAAAACCTTAGTGTATCTTGACCCTTATAGTTATAGAGACCAGTTTAAAAAACACTGAGCTGAAGATTTTTCTCTTGCAATAAATAATGTCAGATTTGAGACCACATTACAACATGGTGGTTGGAAAAATAATTCAATTTCTTTTTCACACCAAATACTGAATAATAGAAGGAGGTTGGTTAATTAAAATTTCACACTGTTGTCCACTTTCAGTACAAAACATTTCTGGATTACAAAAACACACCAGAGTTCAATTAGGGGATACACAAGCTGTTTGCGAGTGAGTATAAAAAGGCAACCGAAGCCCTTAACTCACAGTCATCACAGGTAATAATTGTAAAATATCTGTGTTCCTTTTCCCCAACTTTGAAGTGAGGTGGCTACTGTCTGTTCTTGCCCTGTAGGAAGCACACATTAGATTTATGACTTTGCAGACAACCAAAATTACACTGTCCCTCGCTGCAGCCCAGGAAGGCCAGTAATCGCTTAATGCACAACAGCTAATTGTGACCATGCAGAGATATAGAGTTTATGTGACACATGATAAGTGTTTTTCCATCCCTCTGGCAGAGAAAAGGTGTAAAGGCAATTTAGTAAAAGAGGCTTATCTGATAAAGCTGTAATTTGTCATGAATGTTCCCATTTTTCTCTCAACACCAGGACACAGCTTAAACAATCCATCTGGATCAAGGTGGAGGAAAATAATGCATTATGAGTGACCAAGGTTTTAATGCTTAGTAATAATGAATTCAACACTGCAGGATTGTACCTGCACTTTCATGGTTACGCTCTTAAAAAACGATGGTGTAGAGGTTCTTTACTTGTAATCATAGTTCTATTTAGAACCAAATGCTCCTAAAATACCCTTTTATGCTGAAATAGTTCTTTATGCTGGGGATTAAGGTTCTTTATTCACCCTTTTGTTTTGTTTTTTTAATCTGTAACTGTCAAAAAATTATTTTAAAGCAACTTCTGGCCTTCTTTTTTTTCAAGTTTAGTTTCAACCCTTAGTAAACACACCTGAATCAGCTAATCAAAGTCTTCAGACTCTCTAGAACTTCCAGGCAAGTGTGTTGGAGCTAACATCTGCAGAACATTGGTCCTACAGAAGCAGGATTGGACACCACTACCATAGAAGAACCATTTTGGGTTCCCCAAAGAATCTTTCAGTAAAAAGTTCTTGTTAAAAGAATCGTTTTTTTTGTTAAATGTTCTTCATGGAACAATGGATGCCAATAAAAAAACATTTATTTTTAAGAGTGTATCCCTCTAAGGCTTGTTTTTGCTGAATACAAATATGATTGAACACTGATTCCATAATATTTATAAGAAGGAAACATCTGCAATATCAGTACATAACTGTCACAATGTACAATGTTACGTGCATCTGTCAACTTTGCAAATGCCATTCCTCATTTTCAGTACGGTTTAGTTGGAAAGTTCAGATCCTGTGTGTTGAAGAGGTGTGTCAAAGCCTGTTGACTGATGTCTACGCTTGCCCGGAGGGCACTTGTAAACACAGAATACACCTTTGCTTAGGCAGCTGGCTCACGTGACACATCCACAGATTGCCTTTAAAAACCCCTCTCGCCCTGATCTGACAGATCTGATCTAGAAGGTGAGGAGAAGATTTCAACATGTGGATGTTTTGCAAAGCTAACTGTTTATAGTTCACACTGGACCCAAGAACTCTCATCTCTCATACCAAAGCTAAGATTTGCATTTTACAGAGGACAAAAGTCAACAAAGATGAGTCTGGGCGGCACTAGTACAGAATCTGATGTTTCAGAGGATGAGTTGGAGGATTGTCCTTTGGGTGAGGATGACGACTGTGACAATGAAAGCCCTGCAAAAATGTGTTCAGGGCGCTTAATGTCATCCGGCCCCAGTGACACAGAGGACATCAAAGCAGTTAAGAGGCGTGCTCGGCCCAAGCGGTCCAAAGCACGGAAAGTCGCCGCCAACGTCCGAGAGAGGAAGCGCATCCTGGACTACAACCAGGCCTTCAACGCCTTGCGCACTGTCCTCAAACATGACCTTAGCGGAAAGCGTCTCTCTAAGATTGCCACTCTCCGCCGTGCCATCCACCACATTTCAACACTGTCTTTATATCTGCGGACACATTCAGATACTGAACCACACGCACCTCCGTGTACCCAAACGGAGTGTTACTGGCAGCCAGAAGAGAATGTTTCTCTGCCCAGGAAGACAGGAACTTTCCAGGAACCGATGGAGAACTACACTGCCCATCAGCCAGAGCCTCTCAGAGTTTCTCAAGAGATGCCTGGGATTTTGTACCAGGACATATCAAACTCTGTGCCATCTCCTCACTACAGCCACTGCGCAACCAACAGTCAGGTACACATGAGCCATGGATGCTTCTGTCACCACTGGGTGGACCAAAGCAGTGATTACAACAGTGGAGGATGTGAACATGGGACGAGGGTCACCTGTCATCAGGACCATATGGACACTTATGCAGACTCTGCTAACCCGTTTTTGGCTTGGCAGCTTGGTTACCTACAATATCACGGATACCAGCAATCCCTGAGTATGCACTGACTTTTCTCATGCTAGAGTTATTTTGAAAAGCGTGCTAGAGATATGTTGAAAAGCATTAGCAATTCGTAAACATCATAATGGAAAGATTATGTTGGGATCCATTTCTAAGTTAAAAGAAATATACTGTATATTACAGCGGAAGCCTTTGAAAAATCTTCTTCTGTAAGTGTTTGTTTTATTGTACATTCTAGATTTTGTTACCACTTGATAATTCATACCATTTTTTTCATAGGCACAAATCTCCAAATAAAGCAGCTTATTATAAAACTGACGTTGACTCTTTTCAAACCACTGTAGTTAAAAGTATAAATATATTTTAAATGTAAATGTAATGCAGTTTATATACTCCTTGTACCCAATAAGATATAGCATATTAAATGCAATCAAATTCATTTTGATTAAACCATTAGAACATTCGATAACATTAACAAGTCTGTTCCTATAAGTGATTGTCACAATTGAAACTTTATTATTTTTTTTCCCTCATTGCAATTTAATTTCTTCCAATATAACTTTAAACCTCACTATGCAACTTTACATCTTGCAACTGCAACTTTCAGTTGTTACTTTATTTCTAATGATTTTGGCAATGTCAATTTCCTAAACTTATTTTTATCACCTGTTTTATTTCTTACTTTGAGGTGGTAGCAGGTTTTCATATGTCAAGCATTGCTGCAGTATGTAGAAAAGTCAAGAGTGCTAGTGCAATGCAATAAATGTAACACATTTAAAATTTCAGAAAGTTCTTTGCTCTCTTGAGGAATGGTTAATCTGCAAAATTCCTTTATGGAATGTGTTAAACTGGTAGATCATCTATAATTACTGTCAGTGTCAATTATAAATTTGCATTGCATGATGCAAAGTTGCAAGTTGCCACAGTCAATAAATGGGTGCTGACAGAGAAAAATAGAAAATGACAGCAAGTCTTGTATCTATGTAACCAAAAATACAGATAGATATAAATTTGTAGCCTAATATATTTGAGTGCAAAGCACGGTAACCGTTACATGAAGTTACAATTAGGTTTCTATTGTAGAATTTCCATGTTCTGTAATTGTTGTTTTGTATTATCAAGATTTGTTGTGCATCTTTGGAAATTTGACTTTAAGCATAATTTATGCAGTTGAAGAATTCAACACCAAAACGCATTTCCTCATTAAGAGACTGAAAGTCTTTTAAAAAAATAGTTTTCAGGCTCTTTGAGATTTGCAAATTAGCAAAAGTGTCTTTATTAAAATTTTTTTTATTCCAGCAGAAGGGGGCAGTGATGGTCTCCCCCTCAGGACTGATAGAGGGAGGTGATTCCAGTAAGATGGGGGAACAGGGAACAGGAAGGAGCTCAGCACTCCTCAAGGCAGATATGACTCAGCTTTGTCTCTTGATCACATCCAGTCAGGGGAACTTTGTCAGATTCTGTTTCTCTCCGCCCCCTTCACATGGTGTGATGACATGTCTCTCGCTCTTGACAGAACTAGCAGCCAAGTGTAGTAACATCTGCATGTTTTGTACAGTAATTTCAAAAACTTTGCCATTTGAGTCAAAAGAGCTGAAGTTCAGTTAGATTAAACTAAATAATGGGTTCAAATTGCAAGGAAGGATTATGGGAAAGTATTTGTAAATGAAGTCATGCAAAACACCCTATGAAATCTGTGCAGGTTACTATGTTTTTAGGTTGTTACACAAGTGGGCCACTTGAGGGCAGCAAATACATACAAAACCAGTCTTCATCGCATCAAAACAGATCTGTTTTTATTCAAAAAGACATAGTTTAAAAAAAAAAAAAAAA